CTGATGGACTATCCAAGCAAGCGGAATTATTGCATAATATGATAATTTAAGCCTGTTCATTTGTGCTTTGAGGGAGAAGTCTGGATTGATTGGCTTGATTGCATCGTGCTCGTGTCAGCAGCATCAAGGGACTTCTGTATTGACTAGATTAGCCGGTGACATCACCGTTGCCTGGGGAGATGCCCACTTGGAGACCGATAGGAGCTGGAGGGAAAGACGGGAACTCTACCCGCCCTAGAGCACCGGGTCTCAAACGCAGGCTTCCTGACCTCCAACCTAGCATCCTAACCACACAAGCCACTGTGCTCCCAATTGTCGTGATGATCCATGTATTTGTTGTCTCGGGAATTCTGGGAGATGAAGTCCACAGGTCTTAAAAGTTGCCAAGATTGGACACCTGATTTACATACTTTGATCCAGGGAATGAAATTGTTACCAAATCAGGAAAATATATATTTGCGCTTCTCCCACCTAAAACTGAACTTAAATTGTTCTCGAACAATTAAACTATTTTTTAAATTATTTCTTATTTCTCTCTCTCTCTCTCTCTCTCTCTCTCTCTCTCTCTCTCTCTCTCTCTCTCTCTTTCTCTCTTTCTTTCTTTCTCTCTCTCTGTCTACAGTATTTTGCAACGGGCTCTTATTTTCGCTTGCCATGTCCTCAAAGAGGAAGAGAAAGGGCCATGGTTCCTCTGAAGAGCGCAGCAAGAAGCACAGGAAGGCCATCAGTCTGAATTTGAAGATGAAGATCATCAAAGCCTACGACGCCGGGAAGAAAGTGAACATCATCGCTCAAGAAGAAGGCCTGGCCCATTCCACCATCTCCACCATTTTGAAGAACAAGGAGCGGATCAGGGAGGCCATGAAAGGATCACCGGGGACGAAAGCCATTATCACCAGGCAACGCAAAGGTCTCATCCACGAAACGGAGAAACTCTTGATGCTTTGGATCGAGGATCAGATCCAGAAAAGGATTCCCATCAGCCTCCCTCTCATTCAGGCCAAGGCACGCAGCCTTTTTGCCACCCTGAAGGAACGAGCGGGCGAGGAGTGCACTGAAACGTTCACAGCCAGCCGCGGCTGGTTCATGCGGTTCCAGCGAAGGTTTAATTACCACACTGCACACCCGCCAGGTGAAGCCACGGATGCCGACAAAATAGCAGCCCAACGCTTCCTCGATGACTTCGACGATCTCATCACAGGAGAGAACTATTTGCCCGAACAGATATTCAATGTGGACAAAACCCGGTTATTCTGGAAAAAAATGCCAGAACGGACCTACCTTCACCAAGAGGCCCAAGCAATGCCTGGATACAAGGCCTTTAAGGACAGGATCACTTTGCTGTTGGGTGGAAACGTTGCTGGATTCAAGCTGAAGCCATTTCTGATTCACAAATCGGAGGATCCTCCCATGTGCGAAAATATCTGCCAGGAGACCCTGCCCGTTTATTATCAATCTGATCAGAAGGCTTGGATGACCCAAGTCTTCTTCGAGGATTGGTTCGTGAATTGCTTCATCCCCCAAGTGCAGGAATATTGTTTTCAAAACAGAATCCCTTTTAGAATTCTTCTGCTCCTCAACAACACCCCTGGATATCCCCCGCACCTGGACAATGTCCATCCAGACGTGAAGGTTGTTTATCTACCAAAAAACACCAGCCCTTTCCTGCAGCCCATGGATCAGGGAGCTGTCTCGACCTTCAAAGCGTGCTATTTACGGGCCACGCTGGCCATGGCTGTCGCCGCAACAGAGGACAACGGGGTGATCTTACGCGAGTTTTGGAAAGCGTACGATATCAGCCACTGTATTGAAAACATCGCGACAGCCTGGAAGGACGTCAGCCTGAAATGCATGCAAGGGATTTGGGAACGGTGCTTAAAACGTTTTGCTCTCCTCGTCCATAATTTTGAAGGCTTTGACCCAAACGAAGATTTGGAGGAAATCAGTCACAACATTTTGATGCTCACCCAAGCCCTCAGTTTAGAGGCAGATGCAGAAGATGTGAAAAAATGGATCGCCTACCCCGAGGGAGAGCTTTCCAATGAAGAATTGATCGAGTTGAAAGAAGAATTGGAGGCCCAGGGCCTTGCGGAAGAGGAGGAAGAAATAAAATTCTAGACTTGAGTTCAGGAAATTCATGGTGAAACTATCGACTGGCGTTTTTCTTGGATGTTAACAAAACGGTACGAAAATTAGGAAATATAGATCCAAATGTAAGAACATTTTGGAAAGTTACACTGGGAGACCAGGAAGCTTGTGTGGAAATATTGACCGGTGTTTTCTCAGATATTAATGAAAATTAGGGAGTATGGATCCCAAATGTAGAACATTTTGGCCCAGGAAGTTCGTGTGAAAATACTGATCACGTGAAAATATTGATCAGTGTTTTCTCATGTTAATGAAATGTTAAGAAAATTAGGGAGTATGGATCGAAATGTAGAACATTTTGGAAAGTTACATCGGGAGCCCAGGAAGTATCAATAGGTGTTTTCTCGTGTTAATGAAACATCGTGAAAATTAAGTATGGATTCTAATGTAGAACATTTTTTGAAAGCTATGTCAGAAATGCATTTGTTCTAGGGAAATAAATGAGATGAAGAAAAAAATGTGCAAAGAAAACTTAGTGAATTCTTTACGGACAGTTATTTCTTGCTCACCTCTTCCTTCCTCCCCATGAAAAAGAGGAGATGCCAGAAGATTCTCGGTTCACTAGCCTTCTCAGTCTCAGTGTCCAACATTTCAAAAAACGCAGCAAAGACTAATCTTTGGAAGGGGATTTCTATAGATGTTTACAGGTACAGTACTGTAATTGTAAACACTGATTTTTGTATTCTTTTATTTTTGTACTGTAACACAACATGATGGCGCTTAATACATGTTAGATCAAAGATGTTTTAAAATCTTTGGTTCATTGGAGGACAAAATTGATTTCTTTAGAAATAAAGATGTTTTAAAACATGAAAAAAAATGTAGCTAGGTTCATTGAAGGCTAAAAGTTGAGTATGAAAGGAAGAATTAAGTTAAATTGCATATCAATGGAAAAAGTAAAATTGTGATTTCCCCCCCCCCCCACACTTATGGACTGCTTTATTTAGTGACTGAGTTGTTGGCCCCAATAGTGGTCCCTAAACCAGGATTGCTTATATATTGGTCTTCTGTTAAAAGAATTGTTTTAATAGTTTGCACATAATTGTGCAAAGGTGCTGACCAAGAAACCAGAACACAGTACTAATCCCATCTTTGGCGTGAAAGCCGGTTGGGTGACTTTGGACCAGGAAACTATTCTAGCCCCACCTAAGGCGTGAAAACTGGCTGAGTGACTCTGAGCCAATCACCAGGAGACAGTGAGTTCTCGTCCCACCTTAGGCGTGAAAGCTGGTTGGGTGACTGGCCAACTACCAGGAGATGGTGAGTTCTAATCCCACCTTAAATCATAAAGATGGTATGGGTAATCACCAGGATTGGCCCAAAGTCGCCTGGCCAGCTTTTGTGCCAAAGGCAGAACTAGAACTCACATTTTCTGGCAATTGACCCAAAGTCACCCAGCCAACTTTCATGTCTAAGACAGGACTAGAACGTACTTTCCAGCTTCCTAACCTGGTGCCTTAACCACTAGACCAAATGGTCTTATATTTTCCCCCTTGATTGTAATCAGAGAAAGTGTGTGTGTGTGTGTGTGTATGTGATGTACTGGAAGCTGTGTTGTATCAGGAAAAGTCAAAAGGGTTGAAAAAAAGATTTTGTAGGAACTATCTGCCTTGTATGGTAAAATGGATGCAAAATGCCAGTTTGGTATCACACGTAGTACAATTTATTTGGTCAACTCAGTACGGCATATCACTGCAGTTGGTAAGTGAACCCCTCGTTTGCCATGGCGCTGTTTTGCCAAAAAGCGGAAATTAAGTACCAGTGTTCAACAAAACCTTCGCTGAATGCAGTTATGTCTTCGTGAGATGCTGCGGCCGTATTGCCAACAGCTCAATGTGTGATGATGCGACCACACAAGAGGGTGGTTGCCGGAACTTGGATCAGAGTTGTAAGCCCACTTTTCAAGGCTGGTTATGACTCCAAATGGCTATTAAGCAACTCGTCATAAGTCAAAAACTACCTGTATTGGGCCTTAGGAAGCCATGCATCAGTGTTTTGGCCAACAGACATAGAACGGAGCAAGGATAGGCTTGGTAGCAATTGCTCTCCTCCTGCTCCACATACTATCTACACACAGTTGTGGCACCTTGGAAGGTGAGAACTGGGCCTGATCACACCATTCCAGAGTATCGAATGGATAATCCAACTTGCTTGCACTCAACTTTGGAACCACTTACCACTTTGCAAGATGCCACTAGGGCAGGGGGGTCAAACTCAATTTCACTGAGGGGTACATCAGGGTTGTGGTAGGTGTGATCAGGGTTGGTGTGGCCGTCACTCGTGTCAGGGGTACCTGTGGTGGCCCGAGCGCTCTGCCAGCTCCCGAGCTCCCATTTCCAGCTGCGACAGCTTCCTGCAACCCTCTGCCAGTAAAAATGGAGCTCAGGAGGGCCACCTGCGGCCCTCCTGAGCTCCGTTTTCGCTGACAGAGGCACCACAGGCAGGTCCTTTGCTGTTTCCAGGATGGCCAGATCTAAGCACCTGCAGGCTGGATCTGGCCCATGAGCCTAGAGTTTGATACCCCTGCACTGGGGGACGCAGTCTTTTCCCCTGGTTTACATTTCTCTCCATTTTACGACCTTTTCTGTCCACCGTCGTTACATAAATCACTGCAGTTGCTCAGTCATACGGTTGTTAAGTGAATCTGGCTTCCCCATTGATTCTGCTTGTCGGAAGGTCGCAAAAGGATCAAGAGACACTGCAATTGTTACAAGTACACACCAGTTTGCAAGTGCCTAAATTTTGAATCCCGCGACCCTGGCAATGCTGCAACAGTTGTATTTGTGAAAAACGGTAATAAGTCACTTTTCTCACGCCACTGTAGCTTTGAATGGTCACGAAATGAACTGCTGTATGTTGAGGACTACCTGTAATACAGTTGGATTTAAGGTAGTGAGAACTTGGTGTGGAAGCGGGCTGGAGGTCTCGGTTTATGGCCATGATTTTAGGGTCGCTTTCCAAGTACTCTTTTTTGTGTGTGGGGGGGGGAATATTTTCAGGGCTGGAGAGAGTGATGTGAAGGCGACATCCTCTTGGTGACAAAAGAATTTGGAGCGACAAGGCAAAACTCGAGATTTCATGCCGGTGTCTGAACAGGCAGAGAGGGGAGACGAACCAGGAGCCCGTCGAGTCTGGGCGATAAATGTACCACACTGAAAAGCACAGCCAAGCCTTCAGCAAAAAGAGCTTTTTGGCACAGGTCAACACCGGCCGAAAAACGGTAAACCAGGAGTTTGATAATGCAACTTGATCGACAGCAGTGAATTAAGGGTATCTCTGCGGAGTGGACCGAGAAGGTGGAGCTGTTCTGAAGTTTGGCCACGGATAGCTGCCCCGCATGGCCCACTGGAGAAGAGAAACAGGCGGCGGGGACAGTCAATTCCAACTTTCCGGCTGTCTTTCGTACCCACGGCACCCAAAGTGCTTTCAAACGCACCTCTGATCGTCGAGCAAAGTGTGGAGGGCAGGGTGGAAAATCACAGCCGTGCGCGGCAACCTCAGTGTCTGCATCTTTCTCCCTGGAGGTGAGGGAACCACATCCTTTTGACTCCAGCAGGCCGGCCTTCGGTGCTAGACCAGGTAATGGAGCCAAGAGGGTAGGTGGACACCACATTTTAGGCGTGATTCTTCCCCCCCCAACCCGGTTCGGCCAGGACTCGCAGTGCAATGCAGCACAAGGAGTGTCTTTCGACAGCTGTCTCTCCATCAAAGAAATATTTCGAGACAGCTGGCGTGTTTTGAATGCTGGGAGCTGGGCTTATTCCACAGGACCCCACACGGTCCTGATCAGGCAAGCAAGAAGGAGGCGCCTCTCCGTGGGGAGAGAAGAAGCGTTGGGGCTGCCCCATGGAAGGTGGGGAGGATCTCAGCTGGCCCACTAAGCGGGCCAATTCTAGCCCAGCGGTTCATTTGGCACAAATGACCCCTTGGGGTCCAGCTTCAGGTCCCAATGGGTGGGTTGGCCTCAAAGAGGGAGTCTCTCTCTAGGGGGTTGGTGACTGGCAAGCTTGGTGGCACAGCGGGCCCAGGTGGCGGGGGCAGTTGCTCCCGGTGCATGCGCAGATGCTGCTTTAGTGACTGCTTGTATCGGAAGTGCTTGCCGCAGTGTGGGCAGGCATACGGGTTCTCTCCCGTATGCATGCGCTGATGTTCCAGCAGGTACTTCCGGCGGGCGAAGGTCTTGAGGCACTCGGTGCAACGGTGGCGCCTCTCACCGTTGGCGTGGCTGGCCTGGTGGCTGAGGAAGGCCTGAGAATGGCTGAAACTCTGTCCACACTCGCGACAGGAGTACAGCTTAGCCCCGGCTTGATGGACGCTGCTTTGGTGCTTGACCAGGTGGTGGGCACGCACAAAGCGCTTGTCGCATTGCCCGCAGCGGTAGGGCCGCTCCCCAGTGTGGATCCGGTAGTGGTTGGTCAGCTTGGATTTCTCCGCGAAGCGCTTCTCGCACTCGGGACACTGGTAGGGCTTTTCCCCCGTGTGGGTGCGGGTGTGGTCGTCCAGGTGCTGTTTCCTGATGAAGGTCTTGTTGCACTGGGGACACTGGAAGGGGCGCGGCCGCTCACGGTGCGTCTTCTGGTGAACCACCAGGCTGGACTTGCGTTTGAAGGCTTTGTGGCACTCCGAGCACTGGTGCGGCCGGTCCGCGTGGATGGCCTGGTGCCGAGTCAGCTGAGCCTGGTGGCTGAAACCGCAGCCACACTCAGAGCACACAAAGGGGCTATCGCTCTTCCCCACGGCATGGGTCTTCTGGTGGATCAGCAGGCTGGTCTTGAGCCGGAAACTCTTTGGGCAGAGGGAGCAGGCGTGCGGCCGGCCGGCTGTTTCGGAGACGGCCGCATCGCTGAAGCTGTTGTTATTCTCCGGGCACAGGTAGGGCTCAGGGACCTGGGGGACACTGGACTCGGTCCCTGGCCTGGCCCCTCCCCCGTACACTTCCTCTCCCATGGGGATCCTTGGAGGCAGGGAAAGCTCATCCAGGCCCTTGAAGCATCTCAGCTGGCCTTCCTTCAAGCAGGTTGCTGGCGGAGTGGCCTCAGGTTGGGGGCAGGTTCTCTCACTGGGGCGGGGTGGCTCCTCGGGGGGCTTTTGGGGAGTGGGGGGAGGAGCAGCAGGTTGACCCTGAGGGCAGCTTTGCCTCTGGCAGCATCTGGGGGCCTGGAAGGCCTCATCCCTGAGCGCTCCAGGGAGCCGGGCAGGCAAGGCTTGTTTCAAACTTTCTTGGAGCTTCTCTTCCTCGCTTTTGATTCTGGTGCTGCTCTCGTCTGGAAGAGAGGAGAACGGAATAACTCAGTTAAAACAGGGGCAGAAGCTGGAACCAAATCGAAGGGAATCCTTAAAGGGACAGGTTTTGCAGCGAAGGAGAGTTAATGTCTGAGGTTGTCTTTGAAAGAAGAAGAAAAATGGGGGGTGGGCAAATGTTTTGAAGGCCTGTTACTCAGACCTGGGCACTTGAAGACAGGCAAACCAACTCCCAGAATCCTCCAGTCCTCATGCTTTACAAATGGTAGACTTCAACTCCCGGAATTCCCAAGCTAGCATGCTTTGAAGCGGACCTCAATACCCAGAATCCCCCCGTCAGCATATGCTTTTAAGAGAAGTGGACTTCAACTCCCAGAATCCCCTAGTCAACCATGCCAGGAAGTGTGGTGATTTCAACGTCCAAGGAGACGGCATGATGGCTTCTCTTGGAGGCCTGCGACCATTCGACCAGACTCACCGTAACCGAGAGTGGCAGGGAACTCCCTCTCCAGATTCCACTTCCGGGGACCGGGAGGTTCCTCCTGCTTAATCCAGGACAAGAGATCGTCTTTGGAAGTCAACGGTTCTGCTGTTAGGAAGGAGGATCACAGGTAGGTACCGAAACAGAACTACAAAACAACTTTTGTAGTTCTACAAAACTACAAATCGGCGTACATTAAAATGAAATTTTGTCAAAGGGTCTCCACCTCTACTATACGCTGCTTAAATGTGACTAAAATAAATAAATCAATACAAAATGATGCATATACCCACATATATTGCATAACACAGAGAAACAACACAGTCTAGTTCGGATGTGTATGTCTACGTGGCGAGAGAAACGAATCCTGTGAGTTAACCGGACGGAGGGCCTACAGAACAAAGAATCGGCAAGTCCTGCTAGAAATACTTCGAACCCTCCTCCCAGAAGGGAGCGACAGAAACAGACCGTCTCTAACAGTGCTTTGAGCTCACAGCGCTTAGAAGCAGCATCCTGAATGGCGGGAAGTGAGCTTCCTATCGTCATCTCCACTGTCCTCGCCACTCTTTGTAGGGACTTTCTATCTGAGGCACCGCTGATAGAAGATAACGCTATTGACAGAAGAGAAGATTTTTGTGTCTCAGGGTTGAAATGAGGGGTCCTTGGGGCTCTCTGAGCTGGGTGGTTTTCTTGCAGACGTTTCATGACCCAACT